CAGCCTCCTAAGAATGTGCATGCACACATGTGTGTGCATATGGAGATCAGAGGTCTCTTACTGGCCTGGATCTCACCAAGCAGATCAGGCTGGCTGGCTATCCAGTGAGTCCCAGAGGTACTTCTGGGTCAGCCTTCCCAGTGCTGGGATGACATGCATGTGCCAGTGTGCTCAGCTTTCTTACATGGGTTCTGGGGACTGACCTCGGGTGTGCCACTATGTTTATACGGCAAGCACTAACTGAGTTGCCTCATCAGCATTTACATGCATTCTGACACATTTTCGGCTATGGCGGGTTTATTATAAGGTGAGGAACACCTGTATCTCTACATAGAGAGGACCGCCAGCACTGGCTGTTTGGTTTGAGAGAAAACATTGTGGTGATCTGTACATTCTAATTATTGCATCATTGAGAGTACAACAATAGCTTGAGAAAAGACACGCTCCAAACACAGCAGAGCTGTATTTTAGAGAAAAAGGAAGCATTGGAGAAGTGCATGCCTTTTCCTTTCTCTACTTCTACTGCTGTATTTTCTATAAAGTGGAATAAGCATATTTCTTCCAAAATCTACATTTCCGCTGCACCCTCAATCCATGCATCATGGACTATGGAGGCAAAGAACATTGTTGGACATCTGGGAGCAAAAGAGGCCAGGAGCTGAAGTGCTGAGCATTGAAAGACCAGAGTTCTAGGCTTCCGTCTGCTATGAAGTAGATGCGTGACTCAGGAGATGTGATTTCCCTTCCATTAGTGGTGCTTTCCTTATCTACAGTCTGTCCAGCCAAGGCCTTATGTAAAGAATGAAAATATTCTGCTACAAAATAAGCACACTTAAAACTGGACATGGTGGCAGATACCACGAATCCCAGAGGGTAAGAAACTTGTGAGTTCAAGGCCAGAGTGGGTAACATGCTAAGACTCGTATCTCCTGAAACCAGAACAAGTTAGCAACACTGAACACGTTGACAGCTCCTGGTGGCAACTATGCATTTTCAGCCTTGATGGATTCAATGTGATCCAGTGGGAGGTAAACCGATTGACGGTGGGCTGCTGTGTCAGGCTGAGTAACACATTTATATTCCAAAAAGGAGCCCCATGTGAGGCTCAGTGCTGTGACCTGGCCTGGTTGGCCATGGATCAGCAAGCGTCTGCAAAACTTAAACTGTTTGATCTCAAGCTATGACTCCGGACTGATTTCTGTCTCTGTCTTGTCAATCTGATTCACTGTCAACACGGAAGAAATTGCTTGCTCCTCACTGAAAGTCCGTGCCAGGGTGGTCTGGCTCTGCCGCTCAGACATATCCCACTCCATCTGTTCCTCCCTGAAACAGAAGGCTGGCTGCCCAGCTTCGGATCTAGGCAATGCAACGGAGCAAGCTGGAGGTTTCCTGAGCTCCTCCCTGACCACGCCTCATTGGACCTCTGTAGGCTCTAAGTAGGTGGAAAGTCAGAAGGAGCAATTGTTCGCGAGGTTGTAGCTTTGACTGACTGCACAACTCCAGCTTCCCTGAGCCACTTTCCAGCAGGCATTTTCTTCGTGTGGGAACGGAGGGCTGGCAAGTGAGTGAGTGGTGTGTGTGTGTGTGTGTGTGTGTGTGTGTGTGTGTGTGTGTGTATGTATGTATGTATGTATGTTAAATTAGCATTGCTCATGCAAACACATACAATGGCCAGAGGAGGGAGTCATGTGTCTTTATTGCTCTCCGCCTTATTTCCTTGAGCCAGATCCTGAAGCTCACCATTTCAGCTTCACCAAGTTTCACTAGCGGCTAGTGAGCTCCTGGTACCCACTTGTTTCTGTCCACTAACATTAGAGCAATAGGCATATGAAGACCATAGTCGTACTGGTAAGGGGAATTTAAAGTCAGGTCCTTGTGTTTACAGAGAAAGTGTTCTACCCACTGAACCACCTTCCCTTCCCATCCCTACATCTTGCATTTTCTTTGGTCTTGACCTACCTAGGCTTGTTAAATGAGAGGTGAATATTAATAACATTAAAGGGTTCCGAAGTCACTTTACCAATATCATGACTTGACTTCTGCATTCCAATAACTGTATTGGTTAGTGGTAACTCATGTCACATGTTGTGACTATTTAATTGCATCACTTAAACAACATATCATTATTTTACCTTTTCATTACCAAGACTGTGAGCTACTTGGGGATAGTTACTGGACATTTTGTTTTTAACTATGTGACCTCAGAATACAGCACGAAGGTACAAAGTAGATTCTCTCCCTCCCTCTGCCCATATCTATCTATCTATCTATCTCTATATATACACACATAGATACATATTATAATAACTTATAGAACTTGAGTCAAAGATGGTCTTTGCAAAAACCATTCATTTGTAGATCTCCTTTCAACATATTATTTTCCCGAACTGCAATTTCTTCACATATAAAGTAGAAAAAAATAATAGTGTCCACCATGTGAGCTTTATGTTGGCAAGGATTATTGAGGAAACATGTACTTCATGAGCCATAGACATGTTGTCACATAAGCACACAAGCAATACATACTCGTTATTATTAATATTTGCCATAAGGCGAACTTGGCAGAGTTTGACTTGTACATTTTATATTTCTTTAGAAAACAGAAGAGCTGATTTCTTTTCAGAGAAAAACAGTCTTTCTCTCTTGCAGCCTATATCTGGCCTCCAAAATAGCCAAGAGAAACTAGAGCTACACTGTCATTAGATCAAATAATGCCAGGAAGCCCAGCAGAATGGACGCCTTCCCTTGCTGCCTGTTGCTACCACCATATGCCCTGAAACCAAGGAAGGGCAAAACGTATATAGAACACCTTTCTCTGAACCACAGAGCAGAAACCTAGACACTGATAGACAGCATTCTACAAGGTGTGAAGAAGGTCCCCAAGTGTCTTATCACAGTCACGAAGCACCAGCACTGTTCCTGAGGACAAAGATAACCCAAGGCAGAGAAAATATGCAGTGACAGATTAAGAAAAAATTCCACTCCTCAAAACCAGTGGGAGATAAGTGCAGGGCTGTGACACAGAGGAATCTGGTCACCGTAACTGTGAAGAAGGGATCTGAAAACTTTCTAATTTAATACTAATAACTAACCAAGATGACGAAAAGTTAAAAGGGATTATAATAATCTGTAAGTCACTGTGTATGGCAAACAAAAGACATCTAGCTCAGAATGCAAAAATGGCAAGAGCTTAGGATGGATCCAAACATAGTAGCTGTGATAGAAGATCATGGTTTATCTACTTGAGAATGCATTTATTCAGGCCTCCTATTGTGAACAACCTGGATATAGTATTCTGCATGCATTCTTGGCATCCGCCTAACTCACATTATACCAACTGCTCCTTGGGTGATACACAGGGGCTCCTCACTTAATAGGTAAAAGATCAGGTGCCTGCAAAGTCCAAAAAATTAAAGCAATGCTTCTTTTGAAGTGTATCAGTAAATCACAAACATCCATGTTTTACATCAGGGTCTAATAAATGGAAATTGCACCCTGGAAGCATCAGTGTGATAAGTATGAATAAGGGTGCCCAGACAGAGTCTGAGCTCAGTTAGGGTCTGTCATTTCTTCAAGTCTGGAGTTAAAGCTTCTCTCCAGTGCATCATTGGGAACCGAGAGTGTACAGTAACAATGGCAGGGGACTGATTTGGAAACCATCCACTGTTTGGAAATGTGTCCGTCAATTCTATTCCCTCATAATCTATACAGCATTTTGACTGTGGTGCTTGGCAATAAATAACCGACATGAATTCTAACTGTTCAGAGAGTTAGCCTCATATCTTTTCCACCACTTTTCATACTTTCACATATAGGCCACAATCAACTTAAATGCAAAACTGAAATGGTATTCAGGAGGTGAAAAAGAAGGGCAAAGGGGCAGCCAATACATCTCTCACATTGGGAATCGAATAGCAGATTATATTCAAAGTACAGAATTTAGTGTCCAGTGCTGAATGCATAATATATATGACCACCTTCCACGGCAAAGCCTTGCTCTTGTAGTGGCATATCTTATTACCCCATTAGAGCTTCTAGTGGGAGGAAAACATCTTTCATTTGCTAGATGCAGGCCAGCAGAAAGCCCTGCATCCTTGGGAAAGAGAGACTAGAAGAAAAACTGAGAGGCTGGAGAGATGGCTTCGCAGTTAAGAGCACTGGCTTCTGTTCCAGAGAATATGGGTTCAATTCTTAGTACCCACATAACAGCTCACAACTGTCTAGAACTCCAACTCCAGTTCCAGAGGGCGTGATACCCTCAAATATATACACTGTCAAAGCACCAATGCACCAACTCATGCATAAATAAATAAACAAATAAATAAATAAATAAATGTTGAGTTGTTCATTGTAGGGCTGTACCTATTGGAGGGGTATCTGTCTAACTGAAGGGATGTCATCTCCATGGGGACACACCAATTCAGAATGCCATATTCTGCTAAAGCCAAGAGGAGAGATTAGCCAAAACTGTCATTTGGAACCATGTTAAAGACATAAATCAACTACCACACGTACCCAATGCAAAACAAAAATGTAGGGCATTGTATATGCTAGTTATTGTGAAAAGAATAAACATATCATATAATCAGAGATATAATTAAAATGTAAATGTATTTGAATCAGGAAATTTATGAACTCATTTTCCAGAACCTTCTAATTTAACCTTAAATATCAAAACACGGATTTTCATGCATTGCCCAAACCATAAAGTGATGAACCAGTGTTGCTTATTTAATGCTTGAACATCTTAGAATAAAACTTGCATTGCCTTTCCAGACATATGCCCTTTATTCTTGCAAAATCATCTCAGGCCTCTTCTTCCCCTTCCCTCCTCCTTATATGAGTATCACTTTCATAGATATTGTTCTTTTAATTCCCACTGTCAGGCGCATGGAAAGTATCCCACATGTCTTCATTGAATGACAATGAATGAATGAGAAAATGAGGACACACGGCTTGGCGGTGACTATGTGAGATACACAACAGCAGTTTTCACTTACTTCCCACTCTTAGGTGTGCTCCGGGTCTTTGGAGATGATGGAGAGTTGGCGCCTGAGTTGAAGCTTGAAGAACCCCATCTATCCTTACTATACCCACCGAGCAAAAATATATACAAAGAACACAGAGACAAAAAGCAATTAGTCATTCCATTTAAAGATTTTCAAGACCTCTTCCTCTCCCTCCCTCCCTCCCTCCCTTCCTCCCACTCCAGCAAATTTTTATCCAGTGATGTCCTTTAGTGTCAATCATAGTGGGAACCATTAGTCAAGGTCAAATAAAACTGTCCTTTAGAGAAACGTTTGACCTGTTAAGTCCCATGAATAGTAGCACCATACCTCAAGCTCCCAGGAGGGCTTTAGTGGGGAAAAGGGTCACAAAAGCATAGTAAAAACGAGTGGTAGCTTTTCTTCAACCAACCAAACAAAACCTCTTCCATTTCCAGCCACTGGAGTGTCTGCATAACAAGTTCAGTTCAGAAGCTGCTGACTTTCGGTGAGGGATGTGGATACCAAGTGACTTCAAAAGGTCTTTGGGAGATACTATCAGATGAATTAATAATTTTCACTCATAATGTTGCCTGGGAAGGCCATGAATTCTGATATTCTTTCAAGAGAAGCACCACTTGCTTCATGAGTAATTGAATTTAAATTTCCACCTTCAATAACTCCACGGCTTTTGTCAAACCTTGGAAACAAGTACTAAATAAATCGCAAGGAAGGTCTGCTTAATCTCATCAGGTTAATAAACGAAGGCAAATTAATCACCCCAAGGTAAACAAAGAGGAATAATTGATTGGAGTCCCCTTGATTACTTTATTCTATTTCCTTTATCAAACTATTTTACCATTATCTTCAATTCAGCTGAATTGCCTTGAAATTAATACTTTACTTCATTTTAAGATTTCCATGGAAACCAATTCAAAACCTCTCCACTTGATGTGTGGAATTATTTATCCCAATTTCATCAGAATTTTTTTTCTGTATTAAAATCTATGTCAGCAGAACCTCATAAAGACTGAAGGTAAAAACACACATAATTTCTTGTTCAAGGTATATGATAGGACCTCCTTCATTTTTTGTTTACATATAGTTACATATTGTGTGTGTACACTCAAATGTGTATGCCCATATGCCACAGCCTGTGCACAGAGAGGTCATGGGGCAACTTGTAGGAGTCATTTCTCTCCTTTCCTTATATGGGGCCTAAGGGATGCCCTCATGGCAGCAAGTGCTCAGAGCGAGCTCATCAACCCAGGACCTTCTTTTGTAATTTAAAGTTTGTTATTATTAATACATGTGTGTGTGTGTGTGTATTGGTGTGTGTCTGTGGTGTGTGTGCTGTGTGTGTGTGTATTGGTGTGTGTGTGTAAAATGGAGTGCATATGGAAGTCAGGGGACAACTTTCCATTGTTTCTTGGTCAACCAAAGGTTCCAGGATCAAACTGAGGCCCTTGGGTTTGCTCAACAAGTGCTTTTACCTGTGGAGCTATCTCATGGGCCCAGAACCTTCTATGGGTAGACAGTAGTGTCTAAAGAGAATGTCAAAGAGCCTTCTAGATTCTTATGAATCTTTAAAGTCCTTTGAAAACAAGTGTCTCTGTGTAGTAGCATTTATTTGTAGGCTGGGAGGGGGTCATAAATGACATTCTATCCTACAGTCACTAGTTTCAAGTGGGCACCAGGGTGTGATTGGAACGAGAATTAATGAGGGCTCCTTGTGATTGCAAAGGTAATAAAGATGGATAGGCAAAGGTAATAAAGATGGATAGACATAGACAAACACTAATCAGGAAGAGCTGATATTAGCAAAAGCTCCAGCAGTTTGTATGGAGTGTCCACAAGAGCCAAACACAGCCAGGTAAAGCAGGAGTCATGCAGGTGGGCACTGATGCTGCTGCCATTTTAAACAAGGAGGCAGTAGGGACACCACTCATGTTTGGGCGACATGCTCACTGAGACTGGGGAGCTCAAAGAGGACTGCTACCCCACCCGTTCATTACGATTTTCCTGACAAAGAACTCCTTAGGCAGTTCAGGGATGAATACCAGTCACACACCCTATCAGGAACCAAGGTCAGAAATTGACTGCCACAATTCAAATCTGGACAAAAGATTCTGGTCAGAAAGATCAATCAAAGGCATGTATGAAAATGTCATAATGAGAGCTGCTACTTTGTATGGTAATAAACAGCAGAAAGAAGGAGAGAAGGAAGATGGAGAGAGGGGAAGAAGGAAAAAAAGGAAGGATGAAAGAAAGAAAAAAGAAAGTTCTCATTCAAAACAATTCAAAATTCTTGCTTTTAAAAGTGGGTGCAGTTCAATGCAAAGGATGCAGTAAGCTTCCTGCTACACACAAGTAGCAGCCGGGGCTATAGCTCAGTCGGTAGAGGGTTTGCCTAGCCTGTATGACTCCCTGGGCTGGATCCCCAGTGCCACAACAGAAACCTGTGTGGTGGCACATGTCTGTAATTCCAGCACTGAGGATTAAAGGTGCAGGATCATCCTCAGCTGCAAATTAAGTTTGAGGTCAGGATGGGCTACAAGGGCTCCAGACTCAAAGGGGGAAAATAAACATGAGGAGGTCTTAGTCACCTCCCTTCTACATTCCTGGACACTGGGCCTCTTTCAGTCTTACACACACACACACACACACACACACACACACACACACACACACACAGTAGGCAGTGAGGAATTTGCCTGGATGTAGCACTCTTACACCAGAGGGCTTTTAAATCAGCTGTAGAGGCTCCAAGCTCAGGTTATGTGCTCACCTAACTTTAGAAGTCCATGTATTTTTGAAAAAGACAACAGTCATTCTTATTGCTAAATTTCCACCTCTGGGCCTTGGGGAAGAAGGTCTTGTAAAATTTGCATTACAAGTGATTCTCAAGGGGGGAGCAAGGCAGGAAATCAGGAGAAAATGTCAGCCTGCAAAGACAATCTTATTATTGTCAGCTGCCTCTCCAGAGAACGTGGGTTGTCCTGGAGTAGAAACCTTTAAAAGATAGAAATGATCCTACCCCACCCCACCCCCAGGCCTACTGCCAAGTCCCTGAAGTGCAGAGCTGAGGGGGATGAAAACAAAAACATTCTCAAGAATAAATCACGTAGGGGACGGTACGGCACCAAGGCTAGAGGTGAAAGTACTCAATCATCTCCAAATGTGTGTTCTGTGCAAATAACAGATGGGTTCCCGGTGGGAACTGGATCAGAAAGGGGAGTGGGCAAGAAGAACTTCTGGCAGGCTTGGATCCTAGGAGGACAATTTTGTAGCTATACTAAGGATCGTTGGACAGAGAGAGCTGCCAAAAAAGGGCAGAAAAAAAAGCCATCTTTCCCCATCCCAGAGATGTAGGCTGGGTAGATAAACCCCCAACAAGATGCTGTAAATCTCAAACCTTGAGACATGAAGACAATGAAAGCAGTAATTCTGAGGGCCTTGAGTTTTCCCAAAGTGCCTCGTAAGAGATAAAGCAAAAATACTGCAGCAGCAGACTACTGGGAGCCTCAAAGATCTGGAAAGACACAGGTCAAAGGCCTGAAGATTAAGATGCTGCCAAGAATCCTGGTCACTGAAACAGCCAGCACTCACAGGGACTTACAGGAATGTCTGTTTGCTTCAAAGCTCTATGGCTGATAATTCGGGGCATATGCGAATGAGGAGGGGACCGTGCTGCTTTTTAGCTAGTTCCTAACCTTTGCACCTGAAACAGACATGCTCAGTTGTCCCTCCTTTGATCCGTCTGTTTCAACACCCCTTGCTAGCCCTCTTCACTTTCATCTCTCCTTTAAATTGTAATCTCAAGAGCTGTGGCTGAAATCCCAGAAGGTCGGGGTCCAGCCCTCTTGAGCCCCACCTGAGTTGTCTCCTCTTCGGAGATAAGATTCTGGCTCTCCTCTGGGCCTCATCAAAGGCTTGTGAAACCAAGTCCAGGTGAGTTTCTGATAAGAAAAGCTAATGTGCGCCAGCCCGCCTCTGACTGTCTGCTGGCCTGTCCTCACTAACTATTAATAGCAAGGAGGCTTTTTTTTCCCCATCCGGGCTCCATATATACACCAAAGGCAAGAATGGTGCAAAATTAAAGCCCGCAGTGCTGCGCACATTCCTCGTAAGTAGGAAAACTGTGATGGACCCAAGTCTGCAGCATTCTCCAAGGGTTCCTGGAGGGACAATTTGATATTCATTGTCGGAAACACTAAAACGGCAACCAGACCCACTCCTGCTGGAGTTCTTTCGGGCTTGCCAGAGAGGTAATTATGAACAAAGAACTTAGTGGTTGAAAACATGCTTCATTCACGGGTTGTTTTTAAACTGCTATTTGAGATTGAAGCTAGACCCTTATACATGCAGGTCACACCCTCCACCACTCTACTTCCCCCAGTGGTTTAACCCACTTTCTTGATGGACAGTGTACAGATATCTGTACATCATAAGCTCTTTCTGGAAACAATAAACCTCAGGTCCAAGAGAAATAGTTTGCTTCTGCAGTTACTTAAATTGTAAAAATTCATTCCCAGAGTCCTAAGAACCTGAAATTGTATTTCAGGAACCAGGCAGAGGTGATTGCATACACACTGACTGTCACTGGTTCAGTTTTTGGCGCTAAACATATGGTCCCACAGTATCGCTGTAATTTTATTGTTTATCTGTCTCTTCTGCTAACTTTTAAGTTGGTGCTTGTTATGGTTAAAGCATCATTTGTCCTTGGGAAAAGCTACATTGAGGGTTGATGCCCAAATTTAATGATATTGGGAAGTGGTGAGGCATTTAACAGAGATGGACATTTAATCAGGACCACAGGGTCAGAGACTTCATGAGTGGGCCGGACACTGTAAGAGCAAGCTTCCCTCAAGGGAGTCAAACACTACGAAACACATCTGCTCTCATCAGCCCATGTCTGCTTGCTACTTTCAACATGTCCTGCCATCATCTGCCATGTTATGTGCGGCACGAGGACTTTAGATATGACTGAGTGATTGCTCTTAATTGCCTCCGTGAGAAAACTCCAGCAGGAGTGGATCTGGCTGTCATTTTGGTTTCAGACAATGGATATCAAATTGTCCCATCTTGATCTTCAGGGCCTT